GGGGGGGGGGGGGGGGGGGGGGGGATGGAACGGACCCGTCATTTTCAGAAAAAAAACAAGGCGCGGATCGAGATATTGCTCTGACCAAAGAGCCACGCACCATCCGCTTACAAACATGCGTCGCACATAATTTACTCGCAAAGGCTACTCATGCAAACCATACTACGGCCCATGTACATCTCCCGCAAATGTAGTACTAGTGAACCAAGTAAAACGTGTGGGGAGCACCAACAACACACAGCGGTAGAGCACAGAAAAGCGTACTCCGCAAAGGCGCGAATCTTGTGACAATATACGTTTCACGCGATCGCTTATCAATAAATCTCGACAGAAAAGGAAAAAAGGTCCATGCGCAAATGTACATAACGCGACCGGCAATTGTAATATTAATTCCGGTTTTGTAGCTTTTTTCGGGACGTCAAAAAACTCAACACACGGGTTTGCCCGCCCCCCCTTCAAATAACATTTGTCGCGGCAAGCCAACCTGAAACGGAAAAAAACAAGGCAACGCCAAACTGAATCCCAGCCATCGGGGTCGCCAGCCCCGGCAGCGACCACCATCAACAGCAGACAAAAAAGGCCTTCTTGCCGTTTCAGACTGCCCTGCTCGTAAGCGTGCTAAATACATTTACCTGATACAGGGGGGGGGGGGTACGTCTATACAAAAAAAGTTCGCCCCGCACCAGGTTGCTATCTACATATACATCGATCAACTGGTAGAACAAGGCCAAGATACTTCAACACACATGATCACGCTATGTACAGTTCTTTTCGAATTATTTCGCGCAGTTGCTGGTTATGTTCAACGCGCGTAGGTACACAACCAGAGGTTGCTGGTCGGGAGGTTGGTTCGCTGAAAAAAACGGCCGTGAAGTCCCTGCTGCTGCTTAGCTGCTACGACCGCACGTCAGCCTCCCCCCCCCTCCGCCCCCCGCCCCCCGCCGCCGCTCTCTATCCATCGCGGAGCATTCCAGAGACTAAATAACGCTTGAGCACACGGACCTCGCTCCGCCCGGTGTCTATCCAGCGGGAAGCATCTAGGAATTGTTCATGCTCGAGGCACGACCACGACGACCACCTTTAACCCGCTCACACCCCTCCCTCTCTTTAGCCCCTTCCTCCGACCCCCCTTGGCCCGACATCCAGTCCTCGAGCTCGGCGGAAAGGAAAGGGCTTGCTTGCAAAGGGGGTTGGCCTTACAGGAGCCCTCTCTTGCGATAAAATAAACCCATCTGAGAGCTTCTTCCCTTCCCTGTATTTACCTTTAAGCTGGAACGACGCGCACTCGCCCCTGCTGCGTCTGTCTTCCTTTAGGCGGACTGGACCGGCCGCCAACCAGCACGCAATACACAACGACATTATGACTCCTGCAATAAACATGCTGGACACGCTTCTTGTCTTGTGCACCTTGTCGATCAGAGCATCCAACTCAGCGCACGCCACAGGTGCTTTCCCTCGATGCGCGTTATCTCTCTCTCTCTCTCTCTCTCTCTCTCTCTCTCTCTCTCTCTCTCTCTCCTTCTCTCTCCCCCCCTCTCTCTCTCACGTCGCAAATCACGACGGGTACGCGGGGGAGGGGCCGTTGTCTCGGCATCCCCGGGCCTCGCGAAGGGTTGGCGGTATCATCCACGCCTCCAGCATCGACGGGACGCCTTCCCCCAGTCGTTGCCGTCGGCAAAGATACCTGGCCGCCGCGTGAACAGATATAGGTTGGCGTTGATACGCGGGAAACGGTAGCCGCGGTGGCGGCGGCTAATACGATGGCTGAAACCAAAGCGCGAGAACACACGCACGTGAAACATCTAGCTACAGGCTCATGTCGGCATGCGTACGGACAACGTGCATGAAGATTCCCCCTCTCTCCAAAAAACAATTTTTCGCTAAAAAAAAAATCAGAGCACCTTATTAGGCGCCCACGGGGGGGCCACTCGAAAGAAAACATTAATAGTCTGGTACACTTTTTTGTGGTCGTAAAGCTGCGCGGAGGTACGTGGATGTATCACTGGGCTGCCTCTCTTTTCCCTCAACACTCGCTACCACCAAAACGCCTTTTCCTCTGTTGAAAACACTCTACCCAACCAAGGCCCATCCATGGGGATGGTGAGAGGCGAGACGGTAACAAAAAAAACGCGTGTTCTCTCTACAAACAACCTCCATCAACCGATTGAATGGCGACGTAGCTAGGAACGATCGATTGGCAAAAACGAAGGAGGGTAGGGGGCTATCACGACCCTCAAATAGTGCCGGTTCGGCACTACTGAGATACATGAGAGTACGCTTTGTGCTCATTCATAGGTCATGAGAGTGCTTGCCGTTGTGCAATTTTTGAGTACAAATATGCAGCAGCGAACAGCACTGGTGCAGTAAGCCGGAGGGGCCTCAGCGAGAAAAATGTTTCGCGGCACGCACATACAAGTATTGTACTTCGTTTGCGTGTTGCCGTGTATGCTGCAATCAACGACTTGGCACTCGAAACTTGTGGCACGATGCTTTACTACCTACCAAACTTAGGTTAGACACCCATGCAGTCAACCCACAAGTACACATATCCGTACACCGCAAGGAAGATTAACAATCCCTCTGCTGAAGGCACAAAATTGACCTTGAGCACATGCAGTTTTGTTACCAGACAACACAACACCTCTAGACCCTGAAAAATAAAAAAGTGCCAAACCCCTTCAATCTACAGTCAGTCACGCTGTAAGAGGGTCGACACCAACGGACAAGCACACCAGACAGCTCCATTACCCGCAGCACACGGCATCTTGTGCTTCCGTGTCGCAAGTTGTAAGGGGTCCAGCAGTACACTTGTGTGCCTCTCTCGCTACGGATGTGTGTGTGTGTGTGTTGATCGGGGAATAACAAAACGAAAAGCTTGCTGCGTCAACAACCTGATCAACCGCTTCCAACCACAAAGCAAAGTCCGGGTGGTGGCAATGAGGCATACACCCCGTAAGAACAGCAGCAACAGCACAAAACACCACTCGAGGTCGAAATTAAAAAAAAAACGCCGCTCACATTGCCAGCGAAAACTCGTCGCTCCCCAGGTCTCCTCTGTCTTGCCAATCCGCGATCTGTAGGATGGCTCTCGCCATGCGTACGTTCACCCCGGAGCCTTGAAGAGGCTGTCGAGAAAACGCGGTGCAACAATAATAGTGCACGAAAAAAAGGAGATTGTTATTTTTTGTGTAGCATGATGTTGCGGGGACGGAGGGGTGTGCTGATTGAAGAGGCTTTGGGGAAAAAGCGCGACACAAAAATATCTACGAAAAACGAAAAACAATTATCTTGTGTACCATGTTACCGCGTGGCTCTTGCGAACATAGAGGCGTGTGCTGGTTGACGATGCTATCGGAAACGCGATGCGAAACACTAATAATAATGCTGTGTGTACCATGTTGTCTTTGGCGGGGATCGGGGTATTCTTGGTTGCTTCTTCGTCTCCGCGGGGAGGGGGAGAACGAATAACAGGCGGGGCCACCAGAAAAAAAAAAAGGGGGGGGGGGGGGGGGGGGGGGG